ACTCCATGCAAATGAACCACATTATTCACATAAGTACTTGCCAACTGCTTCTTCTTCTAGGTCTCCTCGATTGGAATGAACATCGCTGACTTAGTAAGTCTATCCACAATCACCCAAATCGTGTCACTCCCATTATGTGTCTTTGGTAACCCTGTCACAAAGTCCATGGATATAAAATCCCATTTCCATCCTGGTACCTCTAAGGGTTGCACTTCCCCATGGGTCTCTTGTGATCTATCTTCACCTTCTGGCACGTCAAGCACGTAGACACGAACTCAACAACTTCCCTCTTCATATTCGGCCACCAATACAACTCCCTCAAATCCTTATACAGCTTATCTCCCCCAGGGTAAACTGAATAAGGTGTGTTATGGCACTCCTCCAAGATTCTTCTTTTTATATCCTCACACTTCTGCGGTATGCACCATCTCTCCTTGTATCTCAGACTCCAATCTTCATGAATCTTGAATTCAGTCTCCACACCACTAGTCACTCTATCCTTATTCTTTTGAAATGACTCATCCTCCACCTGTTTTGCTTTAATCTCCTTGTATATGGATGGCTGAATTGTTAATGCACTCATAATCCTTCTAATTCCCATTGATTAACAACTTCAAGGTTCAATATCCTCATTTCTTCACACAATTCATTGGCCACAATCAAAGCATTAACATTATGACTCGACTTTCTACTAAGGGCATTTGCGACAATATTCGCCTTTCCTTCATGATACTGGATATGGACATTGTAGTCTGTGAGGAACTCTAGCCACCTACGTTGTCGTATATTCAAATATTCTTGGGTGAAGATGTATTTTTGACTCTTATGGTCTGTAAAGATCTTACAGGTGACACCGTAGAGGTAGTGTCTCCAAACCTTCAAAGCGAACACAACAACTGCAATCTCCAAGTCGTGGGTAGGATAGTTAACCTCATGTGGCTTCAATTGTCTCGACGCATACGCGATCACCCTCCCATTCTGCTGCAGTACACACCCCAAGCCATGCTTCAAGGCATCATTGTACACATCGAATCCGTCTCTCCTATCAGGCAATACTAGCACTGGTGCGGTGGTCAACCGCTCTTTGAGGGTTTGAAAAGCCATTTCATAGTTCTTATTCCACTCAAACTTAGTCTGCTTCTTCATATGGGTAGTCATGGGTCTGGCTATCTTCGAAAAGTCTTTGAAAAACCTTCTATAATACCCAGCTAATCCCAAGAAACTACGAACATCAATCACATTCTTAGGAGTAGGCCACTCATTAACCGCCTTGATTTTCGCAGGATCTACTGATACACCCGCTTTAGAAATGTAATTACCCAGAAATGCAACCTTTTCCAACCAGAACTCACACTTTGAAAACTTGGCATACAGCTTGTTACTTCTAAGAGTTCCCAAAATTGTTCTCAAATGCTGAGCATGTTCTTCCTCATTCCTCGAATACACCAATATGTCATTAATGAACATAACTATGAACTTATCTAAGTACTCATGAAACACTCGGCTCATCAAGTCCATGAATATGGCAGGTGCATTGGTTAACCCAAAAGGCACTGTAAACTCATAGTGCCCATAACGAGTTCTAAAGGCTGTTTTTGGGATGTCTTTGTCTGCAACCTTCAACTGATGATACCCCGACCTCAAATCAATCTTTAAAAACACACTTGCCCTTTTCAGCTGGTCAAACAAGTCATCTATCCTAGGTAGAGGGTACTTATTCTTCACAATCACATTATTCAACTTTCTGTAGTCAATGCATAACCTCAAACTTCCATCCTTCTTTCTCACAAACAAGACTGGTGCTCCCCAAGGTGATGCACTAGGCCTAATCAACCCCTTATCCAGTAACTCCTGCAATTGAACTTTCAGTTCACTCATCTCAGCTGGTGCCATTCTATAAGGTGCTTTAGAAATGGGTGCAGCTCCTAGAACTAAGTTAATGGTAAACTCAACTTCCCTTTTTGGTGGCATTCCCGAGATCTCTTCCGGAAAGACATCTAAAAACTCATTCACAATGGGAACATCCTTAATCCGTCTACTCTCACTCACACTCAAATCTTGGACATAGCAAAAGTACAATGGACACCTTTTACTTACCAACTTCTTAACCTTCAAAGTAGAAATGATCCCAAAACCTTTAGGTTTCCCAAAACGTCTATAGGACACCGTCTTACCCAAAGGATCACTCAGGTGCACTCTCTGTATCTCACAGTCTATCTTGGCTTTGTATAAGCTTAGTCAACCCATCCCTAGAATAACATCTAAGTCCCCCAGATTAAACTCTATAAGGTTCGATGGAAAGACAAATTCTCCTATTTTCAAAGGCAAGCCTTTGAATATTCTATTACAATGAACAATTTTGCCCATAGGCAGACTGACTGATACATCGACATGACTCGACTCAGTTTAGTTTGTGCACAATAGAAGTAGAAATAAAAGAGTAAGCTGCTCCAGAATCAAATAAGGTTTTGAAAGAGATAGAATGAATAGAAAAGGTACTAGTGACTACATCTGAGGACCTTTCAGCCTCTCCTTTGCTCATTACCCCGGGTGTTTCTTTTTCCTTGGTGACCATTGTTGCCGTTGCCTGAGTTATTATTGTTATTTCCAGATTTATTGTTGCCATTGTTGTTACCATTCCCGAACTTCCCGTTTTGACCATTGCCCTTACCTCCCTGGTTGTGGAAATTGTTAGGCCTCTATTGGGTATTCCCACCGTTTCCTTGTTGGTTTAGCTTGGTGTAACACACATACTCCCTATGCCCCTTCTTATTGTAGAACCTACAAGTCACCAAATTCCCATCATAGTCTCTCCCAGGGTGGTTCCTCTTACACCTTTTGCAATGGAACTTCCTCTCCCCATTGTTAGCATTAGAAGAATTGGTAACATTCTAGTTACCCCTCTCAGATGAGTTCCCATTCCTAAACCTCTTAAAGTTACCTTGGTTTTCATAATTCCCAAAGTCCTTTCTTTTCTCCCCAACCTTAACACTCTCACCCACATCCCTAGTATTCAGATGGTACATGTGTGCAGCTCTCTCATATACCTTATCTAGGGTCTTAAAATCTTTTCCAACTAAGTCTTTCTGTAACTGTTTGGTCAATCCTTGTTCAAACCTCTGAGCCTTCAGTTCTTCAGTCGGGACAACCTCAGGAGCAAACCTAAAAAGGGTCATAAACTTATTATAGTACTCTGAAATTTACATTCGGCCCATCTCTAAGTTTATAAACTCTTGAGCCTTCTGCTTTTTTAGAAATGGGAGGGGGGTAAAACTTGTCTCTTAATGAAGTGTTACACACTTCCCACTAAAAATTTGGTTTAGCTCTAACAGCTTCAACATTATTTCTCCACCAGATGTTAGCCTCATCCTTAAGATACATAGCAGCTTGGTCAACTTTCATACCCTCAGGACAGTTCAGTGCCACAAACAGTTTATCAAAGTCTCTAATCCAGTTTTCTAAGAAAGTAGGATCGGCACTTCCCTTGAAAATTGGTGGCCTAACTTGAGCTAACTTCTTGAACATTTCAGCTTGGGGATCGGGTTGGTCTCCCCAATTCTAATTCGGGTTTTCATCCAACATACCGGTGGCTTTAGCTAAGGCAGCATTGTTTGCCATTCTAGTTCTACGCCAAAAAAAAAGTAAACATCCACTCCAACCTAAACAACATTCAAATACCAATCAAATGCATTCCGTCAATCACAAAACTACATTTTTATTAGACAAATTGGTTGAAAAGGGCACTTTAATCTTTGCACCCCTTTGTCCCAAGCAAACCCAAATGATTAAAAACACAATTCACACACAGGCGGTATAATGAAATATAGTAAAGAAAATAATTCCCATCCCACGCAACTTATACTCAATTTAATCATAAACAAAGAAGTTTTCCTCAAAGTTATATGTAATCACAAAAACTTATATTGGTCTTGAATCAAAACTATAATAAGAAATGAAATCCTTGAAATAAAATAACAACTCTTATTATAACTCAAAATAAAAATATTACTCCTAATCCATAACTCTGTAGCTCTTGCTACTTATTAAAATCCAAAAGTCAATGCCAAAACTAAAATGAGGTTCTAATAACCATTATTAATAGCAAATGCCTTACTAATACTAACTCTACTCTAATAAGTATAATATTTAAGGGACCACATTAGAGTTCTTGTCTTTCTTCTCATTGTAAGTGTTACTGTCAAAATCAGGGTCATTCTCATCCTTCGAGTCCTCAATAATTATAGCCTTGTAGAGCGGATTCGGATTCCTAGTAGTTCTCTTTCCAGCATTTGGATCCGCAGGTTCTTTTATCATCCATTCAAGGTCATCTTCATCGTCCGAGAATGAAATAAGAGTCATCTCATGAAAAATTCTCTTGTAAATTTTGATCTTATTCTTTTTGTTCTTAGCTGTTTTAAACTCATGCAAGTCCTGATAATTTTCCTCAGATTGGTCTAGCTTCGGATTTAGAATCCTTTCCATAGTTTCTAGAGTATCTTCACTATTAGTGTCTCTCTAGTCCTTAGACATGATTATTGCGTCACTTATCTCTTCTCCATGTCATCTCCATACAACGAGCATTTGAAAGAGCATAACACGAACACATCCATTGGCTTTTACTTATCCTAATCTACATAGTGTTAGGAACTTTATTGAAGCGTGTTTGGACTCATTTAGGATTGAAATTCGATTCAAGTTGGGCTACAAAATAATGGGTTTGAAAAATATAGGAGTAGCTAGTCCAAAATAAGAATAGTAAAATATAATAATTTTCTCATTAGAGTAACTTTCATAAAATATATATATATATATATATATATATATATATATATATATATATAATCTTTAATTAAAATATAATTAAAAAAAATATTCGTATAACTATAATAATAAATAATTATAAGATTACATAAAATTATGGGGGATTACAAGCCCATAATAAAACATGTTGCCGACTCCCCAAGCATACGATAAACACGAGGCCCGGCTAGCCCGACTTCGAGACCCCATTGAACTCCCGCCAAAACCCCAAAGGCGGCAGATCTACTTCCCTTAAATTTCATACCTACACCCACTCCCGCCTTGTCTTCTCCAGCTTCACTCAAACAGTCATACCCCATCTCATTTTCTCTCTCCTCTCTTCACTCTTCCAGCTGATTTTCAAGTACGCTCAACTCTTCTGCAGCTCGATTTCTTCACAGGTACATCTACTAGCTTCTCTTTTACTTTGATTTCTTGCATTTCCTTCGTTTCTGATCTCTTAATTTAGGGTTTATTACAATCGATTGGATTATCTAGCTCATGTTGTTTAAAGCATCTATTTTTTGGGTTTTTGAGGTTTCTGAATTTGTGGAATATTAATTTACTTCGATTTCTTGCATTTGTTTACTGATCTATTCAATTTGGTTTTATTTTCCTTAATTTAAAGGCACAAATTATTTGAAACTTATTTTTAGGGTTTTAGAAATTTTTGAAGCCGAAATTTTACTGCTATAGGTTTCTATGATTTTCTGGTTTTCAACTAATAGCAGATTAGATCTATAGGTAATTAGACTATGATACATCTCCATTCGAAAAAGAGTTGTGTAAATGGTAATAGTGTAGTGTTAATGTTCGTCGCAATGCTGTTGTAACTCAGTTAGGTTTTCAGAATATATAATAATCCGGTTGATTGGAAATATATAATTGTATGTCGTTACACAGTGTTTGTGAGCATGTTGTTAGTGTTGTGTTACATATATCTGAATTTGGAATTGGATGCTAATTTTATGGATTTGTCAGTTTGATTGAAAAAATTAGCTGCCTGAATGTATTTAATAATTTTTTTATATGCCACACATGATTTCAATAAAAATGATTTGCATAGATTTTTATAGTATGAAGATTTTCCCAACTCTTTCAAAACATTTGTTTGCATTTTTCTTCTTATACTTTGAACTAAGTTAAAACTGTAAGGAATAGAAAGAGCTGAGTCAGCTGACCAAATAATATTACAAACTGTATCCTACTTATTGTAATACCTTTTTTTTTTTATTTTTTTTATTGATACAGCAAGAAGAAGAAGAAGAAAAAAAAAAAAAAAAACCAACTAGTAGCGTGCAGCGCTTATCTTAGTGGAGTTATGGTTCTAGAACAATTAAATAAAAACAACTAAACGACAACAACAACAAAGCCTCAGTCCCAAAATCATTTGGGGTTGGCTAACATGAATAGTCATAAGGAATCGTGCGATTTAAAGTACAGGACATAACAAAATCATCATTTAAAAGAGTTTGAACAAAAGGTGAGTAAATGAAAGAGCATTTAAGAAAAATTAAGGGAGTTTTAAAAGAGAATGAAGAATAAAATTCATGAAAGTTTTAAAAGAGTGTTTAAAACGTTGAAGTAGAAAATATAAAAACAACTAAACAATTAAGAGAAAATTCATAAAATTTATCTAATTAAATCAAGCTCAAGTGAACACAAGAGTTCTTCGAACAATTTTGTGATAGGCTTTATAAAGGGATTTATAACATCACCAAGTGTCCAAGCTGCATAAATATGTTCTGCTCAATAACAGATCAATCCTACATTCCCATTTCAAACAAAAAAATAAGTCCTACATTGAAACACCACTGTTTCTGCAATATATTTAAGGACTAATTTACTTATCCAATGAATATTAACATATTATAATTAACATATTATAATTATGTTGTTTATGTTATAAGGCTGGATTACTTGTGTACAAAGGTTCCTAAACTTGCCTGTCCAAATGTTTCAGTATTGGAGGGTCTTGTGCATATTTTGGTTTGCATTGCTTTTGCAACATTTATTCCTTAAAAGTTGCCACCAGTTTATGCTCACTTGTTATTGTATTTCATAGAAAATATATTTATGCACTGCCTTTTCACTTTGTTGCTAAGGAAAGTGTTTTGCTTGAAAAAATATGTTGTTTTATATAATGTATTGGTTGTGCTTCAATATAGTCTCTCTAATGTATGTATTGTCATCTTTTTCTCCATTATATCTAGATTCTTATTGTTAATTTGTTGTGGATAAGTATTACTCAAAACAGCTATATGCGGCAGAGCTGCACATTGCTGGTTACTTGGTATGGGATAAGATTCTCAGTCTTCTTTTAATTTGATAGGATCACATTCTACAACAGTTGATGGAGCTAAGAGGCTGTAATCAGCTACACTTTTTCACAATTATTAAAGGTGGTGAAGTAATCAAAGTCCTAAATCTTGCTCGAGGAAATCCAAAGCTCAAGTTGAAGAACATTGAAGAAATTTATTCTTCCTTTGACTCAAAATGGCACGATTCACTTACAGAATGTCGAAAAGCTGAAAGATCACTGGCTATGCCTCATGGTTTTGTTGAAGTAAAGACTGAGGTTAAGGTTGAGCCTATAAAAGAAGAGAATGGGTTTGATATTGGTGCAATGACATTGAGGCAGATAAAAAACAATTGCAAACGTCACAAAAGGAAAGCTGCAAGATCTATTGATTTGACAACTGTTAAAAAGGAAGATGATGACCATCGAAATAAAGAGGGCAATTTTGATCTCAAAGAAACTCTTGGTAGTTTGAAGCGCAAGGTAGTCATGAAAAGAAAACCTAAAAAGAAAGGAGATATTAAGTGCAACTCTATATCGTCTACAACTAACTCTATAGATGGTAGATCAAAGGACACACCCGCCAATCTAGATTTACTTGATGTCAGCAGCAAAATCTGCAAGCCATTGAATAACAAAGTTGAAGATAATATACATGATTACTCACTACTGCAAGCCAGAAGCTTAACTTTTAGTGATGACCCCAGATGTATTGTTAGTGACTCTGTCAAAGCTATTGAACACTGCTATCCAGATCAGGTTCTTGATACATATTCAGTATATCCTCAAAGTGGTTATCTAGTGCAGCCTGTAGCTTCTGGAAATTCAAAATGTGATCTCAATCAAGTTTCATACGAACATCTGGATTGTGCTATGAATCCTCTAATTTCTGAATTTCCAGATACTAAAGATATTATGATGGTAGATAATTCGTTAGTTGTGAGCCATCAGCCTTTGGTATCTCGTGTCTCAGAAGCCAGTAGAGAGGAAGACATGACTGATGTTATGGTATGTGATGAACCTACTGAAACAGGTTTGCTTGAAAGTGGCGATAGCTCTGATATTCAAGTTGTTCGTCCTCGTTATCTCCAACCTTCACATGGTGGAAATCCCTCTTTAAAGGTGCATGCTTCTGTTATGGCTCCTAATAGGGACTGTCAAACTGCTGAAATCATCTACCCTGGTGAATCAATAGAGTCAAAGGATGAAAATAAAGATATTGAAAAAGTCGTGACAAAAGCTGTTATCAATTACAATTCTGAGGTAAAATGTGATAATAAGTTTTCTTCAGTTAGTTGTATGGCTTCCCTGGATGCCTCTATAGCTAGAGTTGATGATCTACAATTGTCGGTACTTGATGCTATTACTGAAGAGGTACCAGCATCTACCATGGGTCCAAAGAGTTATTGTCACAATACTGAATTTATTACTAATGGTGAAGCTAGTAGATCTTTGGATGACAGTCAAGATCCTGAAGCAAAAGCAATAAGAAGAGATGTCAAGAACTTTGAAGTAGCAGTGCAAGATGAAAATCATTTGCCTTTGATCCATAGTGTGGATTCTTTGTGCAATGTTAAGTCTGCAGTCGAACACAAGCAATCTTCGTTACCTAATGATGCTATCACCCCTCTAACCTGTTCTCCGAAGCCTTGCAATGCTATTGACCAACAGACTGGATCTGCAGTTACTGAAGAGTGCTGCATAGACAAGCTGGAGCAGCAACCTCCTGAAAGGCTCTTTTCAGCCCGAAAGGTGACTGAATCCCCAAACCAAGCCTCATAAAGAGGCTAATAAAAAAAATAGTACCTCGTACTTAAAATTCTCGTACTGAAATCCGACTAACATAAATTTTTGCTTCTTTGCAGTCGATTTCTCCAAATTCTAAAGAAAGATTACGCAGGGCTTTGAATTGTGCTGAAATACAAGACAATACTCATAATCTTTGTAAGTTGATAAAAGCATATGCCATTTTTATTGATTAGCTTAAATATGAAACATTTTGAACTTTGGTCTATCAACTAGTTCTATTCTCTAATTTGTTGATCATAATAAAAAATAAAAAAATAAAAAAAAATTTACTTGTAGATTTAGATTTAAGCTGAAAAATTAAAAGGTTTGCTAGGATTCAGAGCTTCTCAATTATGGTGCCTCTTAACTAGACTGCCATGGAATCACAATAAAGTTCTTGAAAGCTTAAAGATCAGGCAGCCAGCGTGAAAGATTATGCTTTGATTAATTTTAAATATTGTTTTCTGCATCATAATAAATAAACTAGATTTCATAGTCTTTTAGCAGTTTCAGGGCACCTGATTTTTATTATTTATTTTTTACTTCTTCTCTATAGCTTGCAAGGAGAAACTATTCCCTGAGAAGAATTGTGTTGTCAATTCATCTTCACAGTCAAGTTTAAAAAAAGCTCGGATTATCATTACATCAAAAAGACTGGAGGCCTTACGTACGACTGAGATCAGAGCCAATAGTAGGCAAATACTGAAGAAAGGAAAATATGAGAGAAAAAATTCTCTTATAAAAGGCACTGTTAATGGTCCTCGGGCTTCTTCATCAGTACCTGCTTCCAGTGTGTGCAGTTCTCAAAGTTGCTCAAAAAATGCCATTGCATTCTCACAGCAGCAGATGATCGATACTGAACGCCTTGCATCGAAACTTTTGTCAGATTTGCATTCAATGAAAGAAATGGTTGTAGATACATTAACGTGCTCAACGTCAAGACATAACACAGACAAGGTAAATAGAGTATTAGAAGCTCTATGTAAGACCTGTTTTATATAATTTATGCTGTATAGCTAGAATAAATGGCTTGCTTGAAATTCTCTATGGAAGTATGCTCACATATTAGGGAGTTTTCAATGTTATTGTGATATAGTTGCATTGAAAAGTAAACCATTGCTCATTTAAGATTTTGTTGGATGCTCAGGGAATCAGGGGCTTAATTGCTTTAATCCAGTTTTTAAAATTTGTGATTACAAATTTAAGAAATACCATAGTTGTGTAAGTACAAGGGTAAACATATTTGTGATGTAATTCTATGCCAAAATGAACTTGACTATCTCATATATACTTGTATATATGTAGGTACTTAAATTTTGGGTGTACACATTATTAGGTTAAAACATGCATGCCTTTAATGGATGCCTTTTATGATATCCTTTGTCTGTTAACAGTTAATGTTTTTTATTTGTATCATGGACATGGTATTTTCCATAATTTTTTAAATGTTCTTGCCAGAAACTGAAAGCATGAATCAACGTTCCAAAACCTCATACACTTTTATATAATTGCTTCAGGCCAGAGTAGCAGTCGAGAATGTCAAAAAGATTGAGGAAGCAACAAAGAAGTGGTTGTCCATGATGTCAAGGGATTGCACTCGTTTCTGCAAAATTATGGTTATTATTCCTTCTCAAACCCTTTTCAACTTTTTTGTGGACCGACTTTGGTTTAAGATGGAAATGCTTCATTGTTATTAACCTTAATTAACTGTGTCAACCAACAGGAATTAACTGAAAAAAATGGTGCTTCTCCTGTAAAGAGCAATGATGAGCACATCCCAGATTCGGAGATATGCCAGAACAATCTCGTCTCAGAGACTAAGCAGTAAATCCTCACTTCTATTTCTTATGATTTAGTTTGTATTTTATTCTTATTGTTTATTTTGTATGTATTTATTTGCTGTCATTTTATACCCGTCTTATTTCATGTATTTCCTAGGGATGACCACAATCTTTCGCCTCCTAAAAGTACAGTTTACAAGGAGAAAAAAATTATATTTGCTGATGAAGCTGGAGAAAGCTTATGTCAAGTCGAGGTTTTGTAGGCTAATAGAACTGATTCCCTTGTTAAATCATTTGTAAGGGGCAATACATACCTGCAAAATTTAGTAGTACATTGTAACTGTAATTGTAGTTATTGTAAATATTGTTGTAATGTTGGACGATATGCGTGGTTATGCCCTTGGACTCCGGCACATGTTGGCCTGGTTTGCCTCACTGGAAGAGGCCTTTATTTTTATTTTTTGTAATTTTTACTGTCCATTTATTCTGTGAAAGTCACATATTAGAACATTCAAGCAACTCAGGAGTAGAGCTGTCAAAAGTTGACCCGACCCGAAATACCGACCCGAACCCAATTATTAACCGACCCGTCTAAACCCGAAAAAATGATGACCAGAACCCGATATGACCCGACCTGAAATCAACCCTAGACCCGAGTTAACCCAAGCATCTGAGACCCGAACCCGAACATGAACCGACTTGAAAATGACCCGACCCGAATATAACCCGTAAAATATTAACTTGAACCGAACCCGACCTGAATCGAAATTGACCCAAACCCGTTTTAACCCGTCAAAACCCGAATTTAACCCGACCTATTCCTAATCCGACCCGAATTTAACCCGACCTATTACTAACCCGAACCGAATTTAACCCGACTCGAAATCAACCCGACTTGTTATTGACCTGAAATTAACTAACAATCTAGGATTACGTCATATCTTTTTTTGTTCCCTAATTCTATGAGTTATTTTCCTATTTAAGCTTATTCAAATATTTTCAATAAAATTCTCTATTATCAAATGTATTACAATTTATATGTCTCAACAAAACCTATGAAAATTTATGAATACCACTACTTTTTGGATGCATGTGCATTCTTTATTAAAATTTAGTAATTACGATTTGCGAATACTACTACTTTTTAGGTGTAAGTTCATTCTATATTTCAATTAAGTAATTGTGGTTTATGAATACTACTACTTTGTAGGTGCATGTGCATTAATATAGTCAATTACGGTTTACAAATACTATTTGACCTTAGGCTTGTTTGTTTTATCTAATATTTTAAAAAAAAATCAAATAAAAAAAGTTAAAAAAAATAATAATTTCGAATAATGATTGAATTGAACGTGATAATGATTGAATGCGAGCATGAGTATATGACAATGACCCGATGACAATCTGACCCAAATAATTTAACTGTACCCGATCATGACTTGACTTGTCTGGACTCGAGAAAGTGGTGACCCGAACTAAGGTTGTTAAAAGGCTTTTATTGATCTTTTATTTTTCTAATTTTATTATTCATTTGCCTATTTAATCTTATTTAAATGTTTTGAATAATGCCATTTAAATATTTTTAAAAAAAGCCATTAAAAAAAAAGTGAACTCGGATATGAACTTATAAAAAATAAATAAGTTTAGATAATTTCAAATAAAATAAGTTTAGAAAAATAAATTATTGTATTTTAACTTATCTAACTAAACCTATTTTATCCGAATTTATATGAACTTATTGTATTTTATCTAAACATGTCATCTCGAATATGAACTTATCTGAAATTGTTATCCCTAAAATGAGTGGAATCAATGTGAATAGATTAGAATAGGGTTTGAACTTATCTTCTAAAAATCTAAACTAAACCTATCTTATTGGAATTAATATGAACTTATTATGTAGATCTTATCTAAACTTATTAGAACTTATTACCTCGAATTTAAACTTATTTGAAATCTCTTACAATAAATGAAGTAATTGATAATGATTAAACGTGAATGTCATTACATGAACTGTTAACAAACTGACCCAAAAAATGTACCCGAACCTGATATGACCCGACCTGAAATCAACCCGATACCCAGATTAACCCAATATTTGAGACCCGAACCCGAACATGACCTGACTTGGAAATGATCCGACCTGATTATAACCTACAATTTTTTGACTTGAATCAAACCCGACTTGAACCCAAACATGACCCGCTTGTAAATGATCCTACCTAATTATAAACCACAAATAATTGACTTGAACCGAACCCAACTTGAACCCGAGAATGACCCGACTTGGAAATGACCCGAGCTGATTATAACTCGCAAATTATTGACTTGAACCAACTCGACTCAAACCCGAGAATGACCTGACCTGATTGTAACCCGCAAATTATTGACTTAAACCGAACCCGACTCGAACCCGAGAATGACCCTAACCCATTTTAACCCGTGAAAACCCGAATTAAACCCGACCTATTATTCACCCGACCCGAATGTAACCAGACTTGTTATTAACCCGACCTAAACCCGATAAGATATATGACCCGACGTTACCCGACTCAAACATGACCCAACCCGAACCCGACCCATATAGGTTACGACATTAACCCGAAATGACCTGACCCAAGTTGACCCGACCCACACTTACCCGACCTAAACCCGACCTATTTACCCGAATTGACAGCTCTACTCAGGAGTCAGGAGTACCAAGCTAAAGCTGATAAAGAAATAATGGTCTCAGATTATCCATTAGGGAACATACAATATTGCTATTCTAGACCTAATCAATGATTGGGGAGGTATATAGTAGACTTGATAATGTCCTGTTTTTTTTTATTTCTTCTTATATACTAGAGTAATATGGCAAAACTTACATACAATACCACACTATATCTATATAAAATCATATCAAAATATCATATACTAAATGAAAGTCCGTGTGATGCACGTTTTTTCATATATAAAACTCAAGAAAAGATATTTTCTTTAGTTGGATAAACTCTAATTTTTTCTAATTATCTGATTTATTTTACAGTACTATGTAATAATTAAATAAAAACACATACTAATTTAATTACACTGTTATTGTCTATTACAAAAGTATAATTTTTTTTATGTAATTTATAATACGACTTTATTCTTGTTTTGTGTTATCTAATAAGACAATTGAATTTATTAAATATGAATAAATTTGTAAATATAATTTATGATTTTTATTTTTTATAAAAATTAAATCATAAATCATTATTCATTTTTTTTATATAAAAATATCATCTCATTCATCGGATGTTTAGATGATAAAACAATTAATTCAAAAGGTAAATTTTTTATTATTATTTTATTAATTTAAATCCTAATATCAAAATATAATTTATATCCTAATAAATCATTATTCGTTGTTTTTACCTATATGACAAAATTCTTAAATCTCATTCGTTATTTTTGTTTAGGTGGTGAGTGAATTTTTTAATTCTAAAATAAAATGAAAATCTAATTTTTAATTGGTCGAAATAATACTTTCCTTATGTGGCAAGCCAAATGCTTCTGAATTTTTTTTTTACTCGATGAAAACTCGTGCGATGCACTGTTTTTTCATGTATAAGTTTCATGAAAGGATAATTTATAATTTATAAATAAATTATAAATAAATAGTTTAAATCCTAAATCACTAATCGTTGTCTTTTACATTTTCGTTAATTTTGCCTTTTGGTGATTGAATTTTTTACGGTTTTTTTACACATAAATCACATAAAAGGATTATTTTCTTAATTACATCATATATATTTGATTAACATGCTACTAGGGGTTAGAAAAGGATAATTATTATTTTTATGTAATTTAAAATGCAACCATATGTGATAAATTTTTAGTTTTTATACTAAAAATCCACAATTTATGATTGTTCACCTAATGTGCCGGATAAAATTTTTCAAATAAAAAAGTAATTTTTTTTGTATTTTTTAAATATATAATTTAAATCCTAAATATAATACTTCGTATAATTTTTTTATTGTATATATTATCTCATTTGTCAAATATTTGGATAAAATTTTTAAGGTTATTTGTTTTTTAAATAACTAGATGAAACCCGTGCAATGTGATTAGGGGATTTTGCTCCCACCAATCGGAATGCGCCACGTGGGCCAATCAGGTCCTGCCAAGTGTCCCCCAGTTGGAACTGTCAGGGCTTGCCACGTGGCACACGCCTATTCGTCCACCCTGGACCTATTATGTCATGACACGTGGCATCATCCATGCCTAATGGAGAAACCGGCCACCTAGGCCCAACTTCCAAGGGAAGCCCAATCAGCCCTAGGTTAACCTAAACCTAGGATTGACACGTTTCCCAAGGTTATAAATACCTCCCTTAATCCTCATTAAGGGGGATTACGCACATTAAACACTCTCACCTAGAGAGACCCAATCACTTTTATTTCCGCATTAATTACTCCTTAATCAAGTACTAACTTGACCGTTGGAGGCGGATCTCCAAACATCCGGAGCATCCGTTTGTTTTGCAGGTACAGGCGTCCGGTTCCAGTCTCGGAATTGTAACTCTCCCGCAGGACATCAGAAAACCCCGAAACATTTTGGCGCCGTCTGTGGGGAGAGTACTTCTGAGATGGCATCCACGTCTGTACCGACTCCTGAAGAAAGGCGTCCCCTGGACGACCCTCAAGTTCAGTCGGACCATGATACTGAGGAAGAATTTGAAGTTGAAGCTCACACAGCTTCAGACGGGACCCTAAGGGCCCGACGCACCCGCCATACCGAAAGGAGGGAACGGGAACATCTTCAAACTGGACTCAGTGATCCAGCAGGCGCTCCGCCTGTTCAGCAGCAGCCGGCTGATGGGTCTGCTCCCATTACAAGGAACGAACTCATGACCTTCATGAGGGGCTTCAAGGGAGAGATTCAAGAGTTGCTCAACAAGAAGCCTGCCCTGGCCAAGGAGCAGTCGGCTAAGAAACCTTCCACTTTAGGGAAGAGGAAGCCAGTTCAAGGGCGAGAGGCGACCCCTCATCCTAACTCTAGGAAGTGGGAGCCGCCTGCCCTTGATTTCACAAAGTACCGCTTTCCTACTCCAGGAAAGAGGAAACATGTTCGTCATATTCAGGCGGACGGGTCGAAGAAAACATACACAGATGCTCGGCTATTGCTAGAACAGAAGAAGAATGACCGATTGTCAGAGTCAGCCTCTACTTCAAACATCCAAGACAGTCTACGCAATACCTCGATGAAGTATACTCAGTCGTATCATGAGAGTCAGTCAGGCGGCACCTCCCGTCAGTCCGGCTTTCATAGTGACCAGGCGGTACCAAACTTACCATTTGTACCGCAACAACAATATTTTTTGCAGCCACCTCTGTTTGGTGGGCATGCAGCAAAGAATGGCCAACCTATGGACTGGCAGCTGCGGTTGCTTAGACTTGGGGAACAGCCGTCGGCCTTCTCCAAGGAAATTGCTGAAGCCGCTCAGCCGGCCAAAGTGAAAAATGTATTAGTAGGCGCCTATGACGGCACTACTAACCCAGAAGACCATTTGATGGCATTCACCAACCTGATGTACCTTCAAGGGTTGGATGATCCCACTTGGTGCAAGTGTTTTCCTGCGACTCTCAAAGGAATCGCACAACAATGGTTCGGCAACCTACCGAATGGTTGTGTGAATAACT